CTGGGAACGTTAAATTACCTTAATGTTGGGGCAGGAAAACTTACTAATAACCCTAAGGAATAGATATAACTTTATGGCCAGTGCCTGATGACCACCAACAGTAATCTTTTCTCTTATGCATATTTGGAAAAAAAACATATTCTCTGAACTTAAGCAAATATTTCAAAAATTTAATGGAAAATACAATTAAGGATAAATTTATTTTGATGAAAACTTTTTGGAGTATGTTTGTTTTCAGTATGATTTTGGCAGCACCCCTTTTTAAAGGAGATAATCATAATAATATCCTTCAGAAAATCCTCTTATTAGCTGATATGAGTTCTTCTTCCTCATATCTCAATATCAGCAATATGGAATGGGACTTAAGCAATGTCCTACACAATCATCAGAGTAGACCAGAAAGCATGAAAGTAGAGAATATGATCCTGCTTACTAGTTAAGCCTAGAATAAGGCATAGATTTCAGAACTGCCTTTTTCATCTGTCAACCATATGATCTTCAGCAGCTCATCTACAACTCAGCTCCTAAAAAATGGATAAATATAACAGAATTGGTATGGTAATAGTTAATCAAAAATAATTCATGGTGGACAGAATCAGGCTGTACTGTAACACCCATTGGTTCATGTAGAAGACAGGGGGGGAAACAGAACTAGCCCACCAGCATGTGCAACCACCAGCGTATGCATAAGCTGACTAGGGCAGCAGACTGTGCTGCATCCTGTAATGGCATGCACACACAAGAATCAGGTCTGGGATCATCTCAAATGAAATTTCTTTGGGGATCCCTCCAATCAAACTGCTGGTCTCAGAACCCCAACGATGAAGTACAGGTTCCATGGACTGACCATGGAGCACATGTGTCAAAGCTGAGGCTCCTCAGAGGCTCAGATGGAACAGCAGACAGCAAATCCAAGTGTACATGTAGGATATGGCAGTCCATTGGAAACTGCAGAAGACACATGGTACCACAACAGAGGACAGAACAAATTGGTATCTACCCCAGCCATGTGTTGGCAGTGAAAATCTGGGCAAATGGAGACTCTAAAATGAACTATGTCAGCCAGTGGATTCTGGAGAGATTTCATCATGCTTGGAATGGTGAAATTGGCAGCAATTCAGAACAGTTGAACTACTGAAAACACTTGAGCAGTGTTCTTGGCGCATGCCCACATCAGGGACCTGGGATGGGTGGGAGGCTGAGTGGGGCTTCTCTCTTTATCTCTCCCCTTCCCCCAGATACAGAAAAAAATAATAATATTGAAACAATGATCTTACCCACTTTCCTGCAGCCCTTTGACCCTTTGTGCCCTAATCAACTATGTAAAGATTACAAAATAAAATAATTTAAAAAGAATTATCCATAAGTACATAGGAAAAACATAATTAAGTTTTTCTCAAAACCATCTCTTACAAACCCCCCATTTATTGGGATTGGTGGGATTATGAAAAGAACATAGACTTTGGAACTGACTGAGTTGAATTCAAATTCCAATGCCATCATTTACTATTTCTATGCCTACATTAGCTTTGTCACTACAACAAATTGCCCAAAAAAACTTACGTCGAGTTTATTTAACTCACATTTTAAGCAGTAAGCTGGCCCATTGATTTGACTTCTGAAGCATTGGCAGAAAGCTCACCTGCTGAGCCAGGAATTAGAGAGAGTGGTTGGGTGGATTCTTGGGCTTTTATAACTAGTCCTCTTGGAAGAACTACCCTCTGGTGGCATTCTCCCAGTGACATAAGAACCTTCCAATGGGTCCACTCCCTAAATATCATTTTCTTACACCATTATTACTTTCAGGTGTAGATAGCTGTGTAAGCTTGGAAGCAAAATCGTGTTCAGATCATAACTTCTTAGAGCCTCACTTTCTTCATTTGGAAAATGGAGATGTTAAAATCTGTCAGTGATGTTTGCAGTGCTGAAGATGCCTAATACAGGAATGCAATAACTAGAATGAGGATATGCCCATCGCCCACTGGCATCTCCTTTTTGGATGTTACTACTTTACTCCCCTTTACCTCTACTGTAAACAAGGCACTGCTAGATGCTAGTTGAAATGGCAACAATCGTTTAGAGAAAAGACAGTTATCTTTTTTTTTTTTTTTTACTTGAATGCGAAGAAAGAAGAGAGGTTCAAGGATAAAATTGTGATTGGCCTTCAAGAATTAGGAAATAACATTGTGTTCTGAGAGTTTGTCTATACAATCAGTCCATAATAATATGAGAATATGCAAAGTCATCTTAAAATGATAGTGTAGATTATTAGCCAAATAAGACTTGTTATTAGTACTGCTTCAAACTAATGATGTGAGTCACTTATGTAGACATGGAACTAATATCCTACAACCTGTCTCATACACAATAACTTAGAATTTCCATTGAGGGAAAAAAAAAAAAAAAACAGAGTAATGTGTCATTCAGAAGAGGGTGGTCCGTCAAGGAAATGTGGGGTAAATGCACACTTAGCAGTCCTGGCTCATGCAAGCAGTTCAAGAGTAGGGTCCTCAACAACAGTGGCTAAAACACCTAGACCAATTCGAAGGTAGATTCCTGCTGAGGACACAGGGCTCCAAGTAAACAGGCCTGAGGTTGTTTACCATTTGACTCCTCCAACTCCCCTCATTCCTTGCTTACCGGGCAACTCTCTAATGATCTTTCTTACCAAGTATTTGGCCTTTAGGAAGCAATGGGGAAGATTAGGCCAAATGTTTCCCAGTGTCAATGAAAAAACTGGCATTCTATTTATAGGTCAGCTTCTGGTAGGTTAGGATGAGTCAGCATCTCTGAAACTGACCAATTCAGAGGCCCCACCAAGATGAGGTGTCTAATGCTGCAAAGCTGAGGGCCTGACCCAGAGCCCAGGAAGTTCATGAGCACAGATGTGCCCCAACCAGGCCTCAGGAAGTCAACCAGGCAGCTAGCTCCTCCTAGAGCAGAGGTACTAAACAGCTCATTTCCAAGGGAAGCACGCTGTGAAGCCCTTCACATAGTGTGTGCTTTATTGGATGCATACACTTAGGGGATGTGGTGGGGGAGATAGGGGAGGGAGGGGGATGACAGGAGGTAGGAGTTGAGGTTCTTGCAAGAAGAGTCCTTCAGAAAGTTTGTTTGGTCTTAAAGGGCCTTCCTGTGTGTTGACTCATTTGTTACTTGCAACAATCCGGGGAAGCAGGGCAAGCTTACAGCACTGTTTCTCTTATTTCAGAAAGCAGAAATCTGAGCATATGGGGAACTGACCCGAGATCCAAAGTAAGTGGCCCAGCTAGGAACAGAATCGAGACTTTTGACTCCTGTAGTATTGTTCTCACTTCCCCACTCCTATAATAAGGAAAATACCTTGGAGCTACAGAAACAACTGAATGAGTCAGAGTGGGGCCAGTGTACATGTGTATAAGTGAGATAGAGTTAAGGGCACTAAGAGAAGTTAGTAGGAGAAAAGAGACATTGAACCAATGGTGGTAATAGTTGGGAACACTCCAATTCTGTTCCTACCTAAGAAAATTGAAGTTGATTCAATTGTGATTTGATGTAAAGCAGCAGATTATTTACTGAACCTCTACTGTGTACCCACAGGCGCATAGCTTGAAATTTTTATGTCATGATGAATGACCCTGAAATGTTTCCTTCTTTAATGGCAGCATCCTAGAATGTAGCCCACAACCAAGGTATTTAAGAGCGAATGGGGGAGGGGAGGGAGGCAGGCCCAGCACGGTGGCCTAGCAGCCAAAGTCCTCACCTTGAATGCCCGGGATTCCATATGGGTGCCAGTTCTAATCCCAGCAGCCTCGCTTCCCATCCAGCTCCCTGCTTGTGGCCTGGGAAAGCAGTTGAGGACAGCCCAAAGTTTGGGACCCTGCACCCACATGGGGGACCTGGAAGAACTTCCTGGCTCCTGGCTTTGGATCAGCACAGCACTGGCCCTTGTAGTCACTTAGGGAGTGAATCAATGGACAGAAGATCTTCCTCTCTGTTTCTCCTCCTCTGTAAATCTGGCTTTCCAATACAAATAAATAAATCTTTTTTAAAAAAGAGGGAATGGGAAAAGGAAGACACCACAATTAGAACTCAGGCAGCCAAGACCATTTGGAAGTTTGGGCTTGATGACATCTCATCAGAGATGGCTGTGCAAAATCCTTGCTGGGAAAAGACAAAAAAAAAAGATGCAGATTCCTCAACACTTTTGATCAATGTGTTTTACCACATATTCTAGTAAGTTTTCAAAGTCAATCCTGTGAGTTTTTAAAAAATGTTTTTTGACAATTTCATGAACACAAAAATCCAGATTTCAAGACTCAAGAATTATGAAAGAGGTCCCCGGGCATGTCTTCTGCTTTGCTACAGGCTTCCATGGTTTACAGCTGGGTCGAGGGCTTTCAGCCAGACCAGACTTTAGGAGCTGCTTTAGTCTTCATGCGTTGATAACAGATTGGTCTGGTTTTTTTTTTTTTTCCTGTAAATCTGCACATTTGGTGCCAACACCCCGGGGTGGCAAAGGGAGAAGCATTAACTGCCTGTTCCTCACCCAGTGGGTTCCTGTCTGGCTGGATCAGCCTCCCACCTCTCTCTCAGGCTGATTCATCAGGCTCAGTCTATTCAATCAGATGGAACTTCTATTTATGTATTTTAATAGCATGTATTTAAGAGACCCTATTGAGTCTGAACTGACAGAGGTTTGATGGAGTGTGGAAGTGCTGAAAACCAGGCTCACTTGGCAAATGACTTCTTCCCCAAAACCAGATACCTTAAATCACTTCCACACATATATTGCCAAGGGCTTACTTGTGTGTGTGCTCAGCTTTGAGTTAAGATAGTTAAGCTAAGGTGATTAAATAGCTAAATAATCAGAACCCATATCAAGCAACTCATGGGAAATGGCCATCATCTCTAATGATGAGAAAAACGAAACAGAGGATGTAACAGTTACTGGGCACCTTGATTCAATGAGCTGAATGCTCTTTCCTGCACCATGTTCCCTCTCACCAACCTGCTATTGCTTCTGCTATTGCCTTACCTTTAAAGGATACAGCTCCCCTGTCTGTCATGCTCATTCAATTCTGATTCTTGTTTTTTTTTTTTTTTTAATAACACCAAATCCGACGTTCTCTGAAAGTTTTTGCTCCCAATCTCCAGGCAATAATGATATCTTTCCTTCATAGCCTTTATTGTTAGTAGTATGCCTTTAGGATCCTCAATTTAGTCACAGCCTACATTGGAGTACCTCGACAAGTTCCTGAGAAAATTAAATTAATGGGTATATGTATTTTATTGTGAAAGTCTTATATATTTCTTTTATAACATGCATTTTCCATGAACTTCTTGAAGAAAGGGCTGTAAGACTTGGGAATTCAACAACTGTGCAAGCTCATTAAGGATAAAGCTCAATGTACATATATTTAGTTAATATTTGTTCAGTACCCACTTTGAAACCTAAGCACAACTGTGAATAAGTATAAATAAAGAATAATTCTTGTTATCAAGAAGCTCACATATATTAAAATTGTTATTGTAATGGGATCTTTATGTTTCTGAAAAGCATTTAACATAATGCCAATCAGATAGTAAGCCTTCTATAACTGGATATTATTGTTTATCATTTTTTTGAGACAAGAAGATTGGGAAGTAGGAATAAGAATTGAATAAAAAAGTTGCAACTTTTAAGATGCTTTTGGGGCCTGGCATCGAGATGTAGTAGGTTAAGCTGCTTGCCTGCCACACCAGCATGCCATGCAGTTGCTGGTTCAAGTCCCAGCCATTCACTCCTAATCCAGCTCCCTGCAAATGTTTCTGGGGAAGCAACAGAAGATAGCCCAAGTGCTTGGGCCACTGCACCCATACGGGAAACCTAAGTTTTTGCTCTCAATTTCTGACTGACAAACTCCTGGTCATTGCCACCATTTCGGAAGTGAACCTGTGGATGGAAGATTTCTTTCTTTCTTTGTAATTCTGCCCTTCAAATGAATAAATAAACCTTTCTTTTAAAGAAAAAAAAAAGATGTTTTTGGAAGCCAGTAATGGGAAATCCAATTCAAACGACTTAAAAAGTAAAGAAAATTGATTGACTTACCTAACTGAAAAAGTCCAGAGACAGAATAACGAAGGACTGGTTATGATTCAGTCATGGCGTTGGCTTCACTTCTTTGAAATTGCTTTAGTATTGGCCCTCCCTCTGTGTTGGCATAATCCTTAGACTGGGAGTAAGATGACTGCTTGTAGTTACAGGCTTCACATTTACACACAACATCCAGAGAGAGAATTCATCTCTTCTGATGGCTCTCTTAAAGGTGTGAATACTTCTTTTCTCAAATCCCAAACTTTCTTCTCATCTTGGTATACCCACTGAGTCACAAGCCTTTTTCTCAACCAATTCCTTGACCATAGATTGCTGTGGATTGCTTGGCCAAGGCTAGTTCACTGGCTCAGGCACTGGTAATAGGATGAGATTAGTGTATCAATTAAGACAGCCTTCTTATACAGACATACAGCCAAACCCCAGATCTCAATGGCAGAAGAAAACATTATGTATTCTTACTACATGTCAGTGGAAATCAGCAAGGGGAGCTCCACCACTGTTGTCATTCGAGGACTCGGGATGATTATGGCTTCATCCTGACACATGATTTATCATTCATAACAGCACTTTCACAATAGCACTTCCAAAAACCTGTGCCAATGAAGCGGTATCAATCAGTCCTGTTCATATATTATTGGTCAGAGTAACTCACCTGGGCACTCCTAAGTTTACTTATTTAAAGATTTATCTAAAAGGAAGAATGCAGAGAGAGAGAGGGAGACAAAGAGAAAGAAAGGAAGAAGCAGAAGAGACAGAGAGATACCATCTGCTGGTTTACTCCTCAAATGGCCAGAGTTTCATCTAAGTCTCGCATATTGGTGGCAGGCACCCAAGATGAGTAGCAACGACAAAGTCATCATATAACTTGGAACAGAAGTCATACTGTTATGCTAGAATAAGGTCTTGAGAAGCAATCTCTAACAGTAACAGAGACTTGCACTAAATGGTACACATAGAGAAAATGGAAGCAAATGATGGAAAATGGAGGGCAATTTTTACCTATGAGATATGGAAACAAACATGAGGCCTGTGTCCCATTGGGCTGACAGGTGTTGGAGAAAGGAAGTCCCTATGGGAAAAAAACAGTGCAAGTTTACATTAGAGCCATGTTTCTACCCAGGGGATGTGGTACAATATGAAAGAAAGAACTCTGGATTTGCAGTCAGAATACATGAGTTTGAGTCCCAGCATTGAATATAAATAGTTCTTTTTTTCCTCAGGACTTCACATGAAGATCCAGTGAGGTAGAAAATCCCTGTAACAGAATAAAAGTCCCAATAGATGAATGAAATTATAACTGTGATGTGGGTCAATGGGAGTTCTGATGGTTTAGGGATAGGCAAGACACATTCCCCATTTGAATAGGGCTAGGGGAAAGACAGAAGCTAAAGTAGGGATTATCAGTTAGATGATAAGCAATGTCTTGACCAGGATGTTTTAATGGCAAGAGTTAAAGACCCAACTCAAATTAGCCTAAGGGGTAAAAGAGGTTATGACCCATGTGATAGAAATAATTGCAGGGGCAAAAAAAAAAAAAAAAAAAAAAGCCTTTAAGTGTCACCAGAATCAGGTGCTCAAGTGCTGGAACTGGAAATCTATCACTCGACCTGGAGTCTTTGTCTTTCCCTGTGTCAGTTTGCTTTTCAGTCAGGTTGCCCTCAGATGATGAAACAATTGCCTTAACAGTCACCAGTTCCATTCCAACAGCTTGGTAACTTTTTTCATTTTCACAAAAATCCTGGGTAACATTAGCCTGGTTTGTACCTCCTCTCTGAGTCAATCACTGGTGTCAATCCACTTTGCTGGCTCACATGCAAAGTGGAGAAGGGAAGCAAACCATTCATCCATCACATAAGTAGCTTTGAAAGGCTAATTGCAGGGGCTGGCATTGTGGCACTGTGAGTTAAGTTGCTGCCTGCAATGTTGGCATACCACATGGGAATCAGTTCCAGCTTTGACTGCTTCACTTCTGATCCAACTCCTATTAGTGTGCCTAGGAAAGCTAAGGGAGATGGCCTGAGTGCTTAGGGTTCCCACCACCCATTTGGGAGGCTCGGATAGAGTTCTAGGCTCTTAGCTTGGAGTAGAGTCAGTTCTAGCCATTGTGGTCATTTGGGAAGTGGATCAAAAAATGCAATATTCTCTCTCTCTCCTCTCCTCTCCTCCGCCCCATCCCCAAAACTCAAGTAAAATAAATCTTTTTAAAACAAACATACAGAAAGCACTAACTAAATACACTTCAGGGGATGGGAGTTAGTGAGATGAGGTTGCTGCTGAAATAGAGATCTGAGTCAAAGAAAGGACAACAGGGACAGACTTGCCAGCTGCTGAAGTGGCCCAGCCCATTCACCTTTGGTAAAGCACCAGTTTAGGCAGGCAAAGCAGCTGTCACCATGGGCTTTCAGTCAGCTTATGGACATGCTTTCTCCCAATGTAGGTGGTCCTGGATGTGGGCAGGGGTGGGAAAGTGGTGTCACTAGAAAAGGACAGCTGCTGCGGAAGACATGGACTCAGCTGCCTGTTAATGCTTCCACAACAGCACAGTTGAATGAGTCTCAGTGGGAAAAGCAGCAAAGAAATCATCACCAGGTTTACTAGCAGTTCCAACCTGTCACAGAGCCATGACGTGTGACTGACGCACAGTGGGTCCTCTCCGCCCACAGGCTCAGCATAAGGGTCCTCCCTGTCTTGACTTTTCCCCACCCTCCCACATACACATTCTGCCTGCACACAGGCACATAACCACAGGGGAGGCCTCTCTTGGAACATTGTCAGAATCATTCTTCAGACCTCCCAGGTAGCTCACCGCCATGGAATGAAAAGCTGTGTCTCCCAGCTAGGAAACTGGTGAAATGCGGCTGATTATAGCTGACTTCACACTGAGCAAGTTCCACAAGAGGCCATTTAGTTCCAGATCCATCCTCCGGATGCTGGCAGTCTCCATCACCATAACCCCTGGTGCTGGCACAGTTCCAGGCAGGTCCTACCACAAGGGCCACACCGCCGGCTTAACCAGAGGAAGGACTCAGGTCCCTCTGACCCCTTGACCCTGTGGCAAGTTGGAGAACAGAGATCCCAGTTCCAGAAGAAGGCACTGAAGGCAAGAAAGAGTCTGAACTCCAAGAATGGGTTTCAAAGGCCCATCAACAAACCTAATTCTTTCATGAAAAACAATTTGGATCTCCTGAATTCTTACCTCCTGTCACTCTGTCATCTGTAGTCACTGCCAGAAAAGATTGGTCACAAAATCAAAGAGTGAATTCTTTTGTGATTTCTAGATCCCAATCAGACACTGTGGTGACCGGGCCCTGCCTGTTCTCCACTGAATGACAGTAATTACTGGGCACAGTGCAGAAAGAGGCATTCCTGTAAAACGAAATAGCATGCAAGCAAAGAGGTACCAAATGCCAACAACCCTTGTGCCTATATCCTCCCAAAACTGAAAACAGCCCCTCACACATTCTTTCAGTAGTATTATCCATATTAGACAAAATATAAAAACAAGTTAATGTCAATCAATAGCTAAGTGAACCAAAAATTATATATACCTGTAACGGAATATTGTCTTGAAACAGTGAAATACTGATACATGCTACAATATATATTATAATGTACAGAATGCATACCTGTATACAAACCTTTCAGTGAAAGATGCTGGACAGAAAATTTCCTACCCCATATGATTTTTACTTAAATGAACTACTCAGTGAATCTACAGAGACATAAAGATTACTGGTTGCCAAGAACTGGAGGCAGGGGAGAATGCAGGCCGATGAACAAGAATGCCTAAAGGGCACTAGGTTTTCCTTTGGGGTGTTGAAGGTGTTTTAGTACTGGATCAAGTGGTATTAAATGCCACTGAATTGCTCATTTCAAAACAGCTATTACAAGAGGCAGTTCTGTGATATGGCATGTATACCACCTGCTATCTCCTGCAGTGCTCGAATGCAATATGGACACCATTGAATAAAGTTCTGGCTGCTTCCCTTCTGAACCAACTCTCTGCAAATGCGTCTGGGCAAGTCGTGCAGAACGGTCCTCATGCTTGGGTTCCTGCACCTGTACGGAGACCTGAAGGAAGTTTCGGGCTTTTGTCTGGTCCATCTCTGTCTCTATTTCAAATAAAATAAATACAGTTTTAATGACTAATCCCAGCAGAAAATGACCCAAGTGTTTAACCTCCTATACCCATATGAGAGACATTGAAAAATTTCCTGATTTCAGACCAGCTCAGCTCTGACCATTGTGGCCATTTGGGAAATGAGCCAGCATACTTTGCTTCCATTGTAACAAAGCACAAATAAAAAAGTAACTTACAATAATGTCAGTTCTTGTCTGAAAATCTTCCCTTATTTCCCCTGGAGATTTTTAGGTATTAAAAAGAAAGTGACTGGTAGCCCAATTCTGTCAGAGACAACATATATGAAATATCTCTGGTGGAAACACAATGCCAAATAAACAGAAGGTGGAATTATACCAATTTGTAAATTCTAAAGATTTTCATATTTGGTTCTTGTCAGTTGCCCCCTTTTTAAAACTAAGGAAAAACAAAACAAACAAACAAACAAAAAAAACCCAAAAAACAGTGTTTGTATTGTCCTGGTTAGGAATCCAGTCACAGGGTCAATCAGAAAAAGAAACTGAACTGCTCTTTCCAGTTACCCATTCGAAATCTAAGTCTCTCAAACCATGGCCACAGTTACTGAACTAAGGCGTGGGGGGGAAAAAAGAGCCTGTTAGCTACATTCTTAATCCTAACCCTGTCACCACGTTGGACGCCTCGGTTAAACATCATCCACCTGGTTTGTTCTTCCTAAGACACCAGAGGCTGTTTCATCTCTAATCTCGGGCCTAATTTTAAAAGGTATGAATTTTATATACCATTTGTCTCAACTATTAGAAGTGGAAGAACTAGGCTTTTCTAGCACTGTCCTCTCGATACTGACAGCTGACTGGCCAGCATTACTATACCAGATAACGTTGTAACAAGTAACACTGCCTACTGTGCAGTAGGCAGAAATAGTACCTAATCTCCTGATTTTCAGTTAATCTCAAACTTTTTTTGTCGTAATAAATGAAACTCTTAATGCTATTTATGTTTTTTGGGGACAAAACAAGCAAAGTCAACTTTGAGGGTAGATACAGTTTTTGAATCAGCTAGCATCAAGATTGCTTATTTATTGTCTTATTTCTGGCAATGTATAACTTACTGTTTTAGTGCAGCGAGGAGAGAAAAATTCCATTTCAAGCCACAATTAACCCCCTAAGGTGACTCCTGTGGTGGGGAGATGGTTCCTTGATTAGGGAGACAGAAAAAAAAAAAGATAAAAGTCCTATTTTAATCTTAAATCACAATGGAAGAGACAGTTGACAGTTGGGTAGCTAAAACTTGAGTTACACTATAACCACATTCTGTGAATTCATGTTCCTGATAACTTATTGTAGGATGTGGGCAGTAACAAATTCAGCTGTTCTGAGGTCACAAGATATCGTGACTACATGGATCTACTAGTCTAGGGTGTTAATATTGCAGAAGCTGGGAATTGAAAGGGCTCGTTTTCAGATCCTCTGTCACTGATTGTTCTTCCACCTCAGGAGACAAACTCAACTGACAGTCATGGTAATCTACTGTGTCTTACTGGGCATGTTCCTGAAATAGGTAATGGCTAAAATTTTTACATTTTAAAATTTTCTCTTAACTTACTATAAACTCAGAGATGTTTCTCAAAGGAAATAACAAATGCAAGACTAAAAGAGCTTACTTTTGTCACTGAACTAGCTCTTAAACTATACCACGGGATTTCTACATGAAACTCATTAAATACCCGTTTGATTCTTTTCTCAAAATGACAGTATCTTTCCCATTAGGATCATCAAAACACTAATCCCAGCACAGGTATTTTATATACATACATATATCTATCTCAAGGGTTGTCATAAAAGCATAAGATTAATCAACAGATATTAAGCAGTTAAAAGCGTTTGGCACATGGGATGCACTATATATTAATGACTTTTTTGCTTTACACGTTCACACAAACACTAGGAAAACTGAATCCTTCCATATTAAACATCGTTTTCTAATAATACATTCTTTTTAATGACTCTATAGTTCCATGGGAAAAAATAACTTGATCTCGGATTAACATATATTTACTGAGTAGCTCCATCTTTCTATTCCATGTCAATGACCTTCCATCTACCCCTTTTTATTTTCATTTCTTCATAAGGACTTATGAAGCATAGTCTGTTTTCAATCTTTCACAACTCAAAACCAAAAGGCACTATGCAAAACAATATGACAGTGTAGTTAATTTTACAGGTATTTTTCTGATTTGAACAAACTCTGATTCATATTTCTATATTCACTTGAGAACTTTGCATATCCCACATACACACACACACACAAAGAATATAGTCTTCAAATTAGCTTTTTAAAAGGGTGAACAGTCCCATGTAAACAATTTATGTACTTACACAAAGGTCATTCTGTAGGTAAATTATTGCTAGGAAAAGTTCAGATCATACAAGTTACACCTATGATTTGAAATATAATGACTAGGGCCCGGCGCGGTGGCGCAAGTGGTTAAAGGTCCTCGCCTTGCACGCCCGGGATCCCATATGGGCGCCGGTTCTAATCCCGGAAGCCCCGCTTCCCTTCCAGCTCCCTGCCTGTGGCCTGGGAAAGCAGTCGAGGACGGCCCAAAGCTTTGGGACCCTGCACCCGCGTGGGAGACCCGGAAGAGGCTCCTGGCTTCGGATCGGCATAGTATCGGCCCGTTGCGCTCACTTGGGGAGTGAATCATCGGACGGAAGATCTTCCTCTCTGTCTCTCCTCTCTGTATATCCACCTTTCCAATGAAAAAATAATAAAAAAATAAATCTTTAGAAATATAATGACTAGTAGAAAGTCTTTTAAAACTTTTTAATAGGCAGAGTTTTCATTTTAATTATACTTCAAGATGTTACAGAGTTAGAAATGAACAAATTTCAGTCAGTATAACACAGACCTGTCAATATTCATTCATTAATACAACACAGGTAAATGAAATATCACTTCATACAGGACTCAAATACTCCAAAATGCTATCTCATTCACATACAATAAAATGATAAATACTTAAAAAAAATTATTACAACGTAAGGAAAATATTATTAAAAAGACAATTGTCATAAATTCTTGTATGCAAGTTCTTCATTTTTAAAGTTTTGCCTTAGGAATAATACCATGCTACACATCAGAAACCCAAAGAAACTCTATTTTTTGAGGTTACAGTGCTTAACAATAGAGTAGCTACACTCTGAAATGCCATGTCTGACAAGAATCAAGACAAAGCAAGCCTTCAAAGGTGTTTAGAGAGAGCATATGTGAGCAAGGAAAGGGTAATCCATTATTCTATGCTCAGCTCTGGAATGGTCTCATTAAACAATTTAAAGCACTGACGGGAAGTCTGTAGAAATAGAGAAAAGTCAAGTTACAGAACGAGTCTCAGTTTCAGATTAAAGAATTCCCCAATGAGAACCAGCCCAAGCAGTTCTAAGGCACTATTCCAATACTCGAAAATCTTCAACCCTTAACAGTGGACTCCTTATCCTATCAAAATGTTTTTTCTAATTTGTTCAGAGGTATTTACTAAAATATCTTCTTTTCTACCACCCAAGGTCCAAAATGAAAGGCATTATGTGAAATAACAGAATCTACCAGTCTGATCAGTTTTAAAGACACAAATTCCAGTTTAGACACTGATCATGAGATTCAGCCACAGCAATCCCTCTTTCAAACACACTCCCCCACCCTCCCCTTCATATTGAACCTGACCTTAATTTGGAGGAATACGATTTTTCCCCTTGTCAATGATTTGTTCAATGCAAGCTGCTTTGGCTGAAAGCAATATAAAGAATTGTTTGGAATGGTTGGTCGGAACACATAAAAGGATGTAACCAGTGACCGATGTAACTTATTGTAGTAGGTTTCTGTAAGACATAGTAAATTTACTCTATAGATGTCCCTGATTTGAAAAGGCAGAAAAATGTGTCTTAGCAAAGGGCAAACAACAAATCAGCAAATACAGTAAAATATGAATACTGTAACAGTAGCAGGGAAAGAAATGCTTACAGCAAACCTGCCTTGCTAGGAAACTTTTGGTACAAAATTCAGACTTCCTCTCCCATTATTCTTTGCTCAAAATAAAGATAACAGTTACTTTACATTAACAGGGCAAACAGACACATACTCCATTTTTTAAAGATGGAAGTATCTTTTTTTTTTTTTTAAAGAGTACTGGAAAGAGGAAAGTGGAGGGAAAGATCACTCAAAGAGGTCCTGAAACATGCGTTGTCCCATCGCTATGTATGCTTCCTTCTCTTCTGGTGTCATCTGAGCCACCAGCTCTGGCCCTTGGCTCACTTCACTGTAGGGGAATGGACGGCCAGCCACCATGACAATAGGGTCATCTGCTACTTCCTCAAACTCATCATCTTCCTCATCCTCTTCCTGATGATGCACTGTCACAGCTGCTGGACGGGGTGGAGAGTCTTCGTCTGACTCACTGGTCTCACTCTCAGAGTCACTGCCGTTGGCAGCGTTAGCAGGAGCAGATGCCCCCACGGAGCCTGCTGCAGCTGAGGAACTCTTTTTCTCGTGAATGAGCAGTGCTCGCATGACCTCTTCATTATCATCAGGTCCTGCACGGCCTTCCTCACGGTCTTGAAATGCGTCCATATCTAAGCCACCTGAGGGTTAAAACCCACAAAGTCAATAACCTTAAACATGTAACAATCCAGTATATTTATAATACATGACAGTAAAATAATACAAACTTCACTGGTTCCATTTCTTTAAGCCTGATTTACTTACTTGAAAGGCAGAATAACAGACAAGAGAGTGACTTAGAGAATGCTCTATTCAATGATTCACTCCCCAAATGGCTGCAATGCTGGGGCTGGGCCAGGCCAGAGACAGCAGTCTAGAATTCTGGCTGAATATCCCATGTAGGTAGCAGGGGTACAAATACTTGGGCCATCCATCTTTTACTACCTTCCTAAATAGAAGAGCAGGGAGTTGGGTAAGAAGTACAGCAGCCAGGATTTGAACTAGAGATGCTGGTGTTGTAAGCAGTAATCTGGCACACATCATGGCCCTTGATTCCATTCTTGGAACTGCTATCCATAAAATACTTGAAATGTTTCTTGTTAATGAGAGTTCAAGTAGCATAATGGTGAAGTACAAGGGTTTTAACAGTCATACAGTAACAAATTAGAAAAACCGCTTTTCCACATGTAAGTTGTCTTACTTCCTTAAACAAGTAATTTTATTTCTAAACTTGCTCCTCTTTTCTGTAAAATGGGCTGATAAAAGCACCAATTTTTTAAGGCTCTGGATAAGAACAAATGAAATAATGTTTATGAAAGATGAAGTATAATAGGTGACATTAATAGGAAATCAAAGCATGGCTGCTCACCTTGTTCAGAGTAAAACCTAGTGGTCTTCCAATGGTCTATTAGGTGCTAAACCATCTGAAATCCCTTCTGACCTATCTCTCACCTGTTCTCGTCACCCTTCCCCATTCTGCCCCCAGCTTCATCCCCTGACACACAAGACACTCCTACCCCCGAGTTTTCTATTGTTTGCTTCCTCTGCCTAGAATATTTTCACCTTGAAGTAATTCATACATCTAACTCCCTTCTATTTTTACTCAAAAGTTAAAATACACCTGATACTCCCATTCACAGTGCTCTATTTATTCCCAGAACACTTATTTTCCAACATAATAATAATAAAAAAAAAGCTAGGTCTATTGTCTATGCTACCCTCTTCCCAGGATGCATTCTTTACCAAGACAGGTATCTTTTATTCAGTGATACTTTGTACCTAGACAGCAGTTGATACTTGTTAGGCACTGAATAAATACTTGATGAATGGGTAAATCAATGGCAGTTTTATTTTCTTGAAGCAAATAAGCATACTTAAAATTCTTTATAAAAAGGGATCTAATTTCTCATCACACTTCTATCATTTTGTGCATATTTCTTGCCCGATACAGAAGTAATCGAAGAATTTAAGAAAAACATTTGTGTTCTGTATTCTGATAATACTACCAAACATTTTGTCATTTTCATTACACAAAGGGATTAAAAATGTTATTTGGAATCTGACACCTTGATTCAAATCCCAGTATTTACTAGCTGTGTAGTTTTGCCCAAGTTCTTTAAATTTTCAAGAACAAAAAAGAAAACAATAACAACATTTATATTACTGGGTAAAAGTGGAGACAAAATGAAGGTAAAATGCTTAGAATGGTTCTGCATATAAGACACTATGTATCTATCATTACCACCACCAAGACAAGGCTCCAAAAGGGTTAGTTCTGGCTATAGATGAAGGTAAATCATTTTTTCACTAGCACAATAGAATGTTTTAGCTGCAACTCAGAACATTTTGGGAAGTACAAAGGTCCTAAGATGAGACACTGGGTGCATAAGAGAAAGAAAAGAAAACAAAAGTTGAAGTTTAGCTAAGAAAAGAGACCTTTGATAACATAAATATCAAAAAGAGAACAAAAAATCAAACCTAACTACTTCAAAAACAATGCCAAAGTCTGAACCTCCTGACCACAGCTCTTGCTGCCAATGCCCTGTTTCATCAAGAAAAAAGAAAAAGGTGAGATATACATGGTCTTTTTATCACCACTATCCGACTCCACACTGCCTGCACAAGTTCTAGCATACACAATGCTAATATTATGAAGATAATACAGGTTAGGACGAAGGAAAACCAAAAATATGCAGGGGCAGGCATTGATTGTGGCATAGCAGTAGACACTGTTTGTAATGCCAGTATCCCATAAGGGTATAGGTTCAAGTTCTGGCTGCTCTACTGCCAATTCAGCTCCCTGCTTGTGGCCTGGGAAAGCAGTGGAGAATGGACACAGTGTTTGGGCCCCTGCACCCATATGAGAGACCTGGAAGAAGCTCCAGGCTCCTGACTTCAGCCTGGCCCAGACCTGGCTGCTCTGGCAAATTGTGGTGTGAACCAGTGGATGGGAGATCTCTTTTTCTGTCTGCCCCACCCCCCATCACTCTCTGCAACTCTTTCAAATCAAACTTAATGAAAAAAAAAATAAGCAGTTTTCAGCTATTAATGATTCTTTAGCACTAAATAACAATGCCCAAGTAACACGTCAGTAATGATACACAACCTGGAAATAGGGAAACACAGATCTTATGCTTATGAAACTTAACCAGACATACAGTGATTCCCTGTCACTTCTGCTTTCCAGCTTAACCTTTTAAAAAACAATTATTTTATTTTTATTGGAAAGTCAGATATAGAGAGGATGAGAGACAGAGAGGAAATCTTCCGTCTAATGATTCACTCCCCAAGTGGTCACAACAGCTGGAGCTGTGCCGATCTGAAGCCAGGAGCCTCTTTTGGGTCTCCCACACAGGTGCAGGGTCCCAAGGATTTGGGCCATCCTCAACTGTTTTCCCAGGCCACAAGCAGGGAGCTGGATGGGAAGCGGGGCTGCTGGGATTAGAATCAGCATCCATATGCAATCCTGGTGCATGCAAGATAAGATCTTATCCACTAGGCCACTACCGTACCATGCCCCAGCCTAAATAATCTTAATCGTAGCTTCCTATTTCCACCCAAAACCCTGAGCCCAATACCACAGTAAAACATAAAAAGTAAAATCCTGCAATTTTCAACCGTCTAAAGATTATTACACAATTGTTAACTTATAAGGCTCACAAACATTTCTAAAGTCTTCAAGAATAAATTCTGCCAATCTTGAACTATGGGATGTTTGATAGCCTACTTACATAGAATTTTTGTATATATTTCGAGTAGCAAAATTTTGGTATTTACAAGAAGGCAACAACAAAAAAAAGCTTGGACCACTGTATGCTTATGGCTCCCAATTCAGAAAAATAAAATGTATATAACATAGGGCACTCAAAGACTGAGAGAGGAGAATTCAGCCACCTTGAACACAATAGCACATTTATAAGAAATTAAGCTGAAGAGAAGCATTTTTTAAAAAACTAAACACAGAGATTTAAGAGGCCATCAAGTATTCTAAATATGTTAAAGGAAAAGAAAAGTATATTGATTAATTTCAATGGCTGATTTCAATTTCTTACTTCTAGATATAACATAACCAACTGTTTTAGGAAATAGGTATGCTGGAATACTTAGAAAATTAAGAGCTGCCAAAGCAGTTGCATACCAAGTCAAATTCATTCTATGCTGATCCAAGACATCTATTTTACTGTCATTTATTCTTACCTTCTTTCATGTCTTCAGAGCCATACGCCCCTTGGACAGTGCTTTCTCTCAGCCAAATGGGTCTCTCTCTGGCAGATTTCCCCTCTAGTGAGGCTCGATGAAGATCTTCTTGGTCATCCATGTTAATGACGACATTCTGCGTGTATAAGTCTTCATAGGAGGGGCCTTTGGTAGTCCATGCTTCCCGGTGGTGCCCACTTGGTAGACCAGCAGCTCCAGCAGTAGTTGTTGCATGATCCTTGCTACATATTCAAAAGAAAAGCAAAGGAGAGAGTAGAAAGAGCAGAAAAATTAAACATTGATATTGAAAAGAAGGAAAGCTAAGAAGGCAATCAGTAAAATATCATAAATAAATGCCATTGAGCAATCATGTACAAATGCATGAACAATTCTGAGAAATCTCTTTTAGCAAGTGAAATCTGCAGGGACCAGACCAACACATCATATCAAACTTGTGGAAAATGGAACCAAAGGTAACTTTACAGGGCGGATATTTGGTGTAGTTTTTAAGACACTGTTAAGAACGCTGACATTTCTGCTGTCAGATTGCAGCTTCCTGCTACTGCGTCTCTTGTGAAGCAGGAGGTGATGGTTCTAGTGGCTGGGTCCCTGCCATACACACAGGATACCTGGATTGTTTGAGGCTCCCTTGACTTAACCCAGTCCCAGCAATTGTGGGCATTTGTAAAGCAACCAGTAGCTTGAAGGTCACTGTCTGTCCATCTCGCTCTCCTCTTTCATTTTTTTTTTAAAGATTTATTTTTATTATTTTTTCATTGGAAAGGCGGATTTACAGAGAGGAGAGACAGAGAGGAAGATCTTCCATCCGATGATTCACTCCCCAAGTGAGCGCAACGGGTCGATACTATGCCGATCCGAAGCCAGGAGCCTCTTCCGGGTCTCCCACGCGGGTGCAGGTTCCCAAAGCTTTGGGCCATCCTCAACTGCTTTCCCAGGCCACAGGCAGGGAGCTGGAAGGGAAGCGGGGCTGCCGGGACTAGAACCGGCACCCATATGGGATCCCGGGCGTGCAAGGCGAGGACCTTTAACCACTTGCGCCACCGTGCCAGGCCCTCGCTCTCCTCTTTTAAAGAAAAAATAAATTTTGCAAAAAAATGGTCTTTTGGTGCAAAAAATTATGAAATCCAGGTCATGATAGGGTCTTCCAAAAGTTTTTAGAAAGCACAAATTATTAAAAACGATACACGAATTTATCATCCTCTTCTCTCACAATTCACATGACCTACTTTCTTTTCTTCCGAATTGTATCTTTTATTTCTGTACGTATGCTGTATGCTGACTCCGCACCCACACACAACCAGTTTGCACCCCATAGTGACTGCAACCTGTTGGTTAGTCTATTTTGTTTTGCTTTTTTACTTCTACCATTCATGACCATCTTTACTTGCTAGCCTGGAAGAGACCATTCCTTATCTTTCTCTAGTCACCCTGTTCTTCCATCCCCTATGAGTAAGCCAAGCTTTCAGTCTTTCTGCTATTCCTTGCTTATTTCACTCTCAATCTTCTGAAGTCCTTGGAAACCATCTGACCACTTGTGTCAGTTACTAACACCTTCTGCATCAAGCTCTGCGCATGACTCTACCTCCCTTTTTGTTCAGACATGGATGTTTTAACCTGGAAACTACTTTAATACTTCTTACACTCGATACCTTTTGCTGTGTTCGTTTTAGTGTCCACTGACTAATTCTCACTGCCTCTAACATTCTTCCTTTAAAGCTTTCCCATGGAAACTAACCCTTCCCCGGAATGGTGAGCCATGTCTCATTCTGAATCCTAATATCTCATTTGGCTTCACTGCTTAAGAGCCATTCACCATTTTTGCTTTGCTTCAGTCTTATTTTATTGCTGCTTACTCACTACTTTCCCTTTGGGCCCACTTCATATCTACTTGGGTTGTCTGTCCCATTCTGAGTTGAGGTTCTCTGATAATTAGCTCTGTCCATGTATTTAACTGGCTCATTACATCTCTAACAACACTATTTCTGTATGACCATCCTTTGGAATTAACCTTAGCCTTTATTCCATGCCTTCTGTTCTGCTCTCCACATTCACTGTCACATCTGTGATCAAAAGGCACGTTCTCTCTAGTTGTCCAAACTACAGTGATTCAATCATTTAACCTGTATCTTCCAGCTACTGCCTCTGCCCAAAACTATACCAAGGGCTACTTTGCAAACCACTCTTTCCCACAGCCTGTTTTCCCAGTGCCTGTTCTACTTCATGTTTCAATCATTTCTGGCCTCCTCCGTACTTGTCTCATCGCTCCCACTCTCTACCATTTACTTGCTCTCCTACTCTCAGTCTCTCTAAATATATCCACTCCATCTTTGTGTCTTGCTATATTTGAAGTTTTGTGCTACAGTTACAAATGACTTGTTTCTATCTTCTATTTCTTTCTATATTCATCTGATGTTACTTTGCACCATTTACTTTTATCTCAATTTGATCATATCTGTTCCTAGTTGTTCCTTACCTTTTACATTTTCTATGTTGTCTCCTAGCAGATTGTGAGGCTGCCTTCATTGTACTCTGACTCTGCTTAATTTGGTATAGATTGGCTTTTTTAATTTTAGTCTCCTCTTAAGCATTCATTTTTCTTTCTGCTCTCTTCCGGCCTAATCTGCTCCTGTATATTTTTGTGCTGACTCCATATTCTTGAGTCTTTCCTATTTCCCTCATTAGTTTCTGATTCCTTTCAATGCCTTTTCTATACTCAGTAAACATCTTCACCTGGTTGTGCTCAACCTGTTCTTTATGCCTGTCTGCTTGACTCCACCTGTGAGTGAAAAGGCCTGTTTTTCTGGCCTTTACCCAGCCTACTAAATCTTCAAGTTTTTCCTTCCTCCAGGCCCAGAAATTACCATTTCTGAGGCTATTTTCCTGCCTCCTCTTCATTCATAATTCTGAATACAGAGTGTTCATTTTCATTTGCAGTGTTAATTCTATAATTAATTTCATCTGCTGTGCTAATTCTGGAAATCCACAAAGGTATATACAAATTAACACAAGACTACTTTTATAAAGTTCTTTCTTTATGACACTGTTACAAAAATTTAAGATGGATGTTATTGATGTAGGAAAAATTCTGCCACAAGTTAAACAAATTTTAAAATTTGAAAGAATTTTTGAAAGGGCGTATTTTTCACCAAGAGCTGACTACACACATTTTGTTCTGCTTTTAACATAGACACAGACATACCTAAAATACAACCTACGTGAAGTTAAAAAGCTACCTGACAGAAATCTAGGTATACTTCTTCTGCATGTTCCCACTTCTTCCATCATTCCACTATTACAGTACACCTTGACACTGCAGTCACGGACGACAGCAGAGAGCCCAGTGTTCTTAACCAGAGGTGAGAGATGTATATTTTAAAACTAGCATCTTAAAGATCTACAGGGCTTAAGAGGTGAATGTTAAGAGAAGATGGAAAAGGAAAGGTTACTGACAAGGAATTCCATTTTGTCTTGACACTGGGGGTGGGAGGAGAGACAAAAAGAATGAATCAGGAGAGCACATCTTGACCCCAACACTCATCTTGCTTGAAAAATAATATAAGCCATTTTTTTTTTTTGGTGCAGCAAAACTAAGGCTGCTTCTGCACTTCCAACAACAATAGCCTACACTGATAAAAATAAGAAGTTATTATTAGAAGTTTAGCCAATAACATAAAGTACATTTTGCAAAAAAAATATTTAAAACTAAAAATTATGTGATCACAATGTTTCAAAAACAAACAAGAACTTCAGCCTTTAGAATTTGGCTAGGAAATTTTGAATGCTAAGAAAATTCAAATATCCCACGAGGAACAACTAAATTTAAAATTAGTTAACAACTGACTGAGCAAAATAAGCACTTGAAGTCAAATCTAAGGACTTTTGCTTAATGCCCACACTGAACGCAAAAGCTTTCAGTACAAATTTTATCCCAGGCACACATTAGTAAAACAAGTATGGCACAGTTTCAGCCTCCTGGTAAATTACTGATCCACTTCAGCTCTGCAAAATACAGGTAGTTAAAGATGAATTTTAAAAGAGCACAAAGGCTATACTCACTTCTGTTTTAAGGCTGGGATTTCTGTGGGTTCTGGTTCAAGTATTTCATAGGCCAAGTTCACATCCTCTGTCTGTCGAAGCAATTCATAAATGGGTTCAATTTGTTCATTAAATCTTGCCAAAAGTGTGCGTGCATCTTTTTTGGGCATTGCTGATTCATCCTCTTCTACTTCTGTACGACAAAATGTACAGTGGAAAGTTCCTACAGAAGAAACAAAAGTCTTAGGGAGACAAATCTCCAGGAGGCCATAGCAGCATCCCTAACATCTCTTCATTGAAACTAAAATACACAGGACAGTTAAGTTTTACAGCGAATACCCACATGCTCACTATCCAGCTCCAAAGCAGACATTTTGGTGTATTTGCTTTACATGGCCAGGCATCTCTCAATGCAAATTTTGATGCCATTTTTGATAATATTTCAAAGTAATTTCCTCCCTAATATTCACAATGGCCTTCTTAATCACAATTAAATAAGACTAAATTATTTACAGCTTACCACTGTAAGTTGTGGCCTTTCCCAACAGCTTTCTTTGTGTACATCACACAAAGTTGAGTTTATATTATAGGGAAAACCAAACTCCCAAAGCAAGTTTCTAGTCATCCCAGTCACATAGCCATTTCTACAAACCTATTAACCATTTATATCTGAACAATTTTAATTAATCTACTTCCAAAATTGAAGTTCAAGATGTCTACATTTTTCTGCTCTCTGTATCTATCACATTCAACCCATAACTAACTAATTCCTTAAAAACAGCTCAGACTTTTCACGTCTATAGTCATTTCACTAATCTAAGTTAACCTGAATTGGCCTGAAAGGTGTTTCTGCATCTGGCCTTTGAACCTCTGGGTTCTCTCCATGTTATCACCTCACCCTCTTAATCTAAAGATGACCTGATAGCTGCATTTCTATATAATTTTTAAAATTTACTTTTATTGGAAAGTCAGATATGCAAAGAGAAGGAGAGACAAAGATCTTTCATCCATTGGTTCACTTTCCCAGTGGCTATTAATGACTGGAGCTGAACCAATCTGAAGCCAGGAGCCAAGAGCTTCTTTTGGGTCTCCCACGTGGGTACATGGTCTCAAGGCTTTGAGTCGTTCTCCATTGCTTTCCCAGACTACAAGCAGGGAGCTGGTTGGGAAGCAGAGCCACTGGGGAAAAAAACCAGCACCCATATGGGATCCTGGTGCGTGCAAGGCAAGGACTTTAGTCACTGGGCTACTGCGCCAGGCCTGATAGCTGCATTTCTAAAATCCTTAACATACAATCCAAATTTCTCATCCTGACATTCAAGATGCTGTATAATTTGGCCACAAAATGTCCTAAGGCAACTTTAGTCCTGCATCCATCAAGGAGAGAGGCTATGCGCTAAACACTAACATTTATTTCTACAGAGCTGGTCTAAAATGCTTCCACATATACTTTCCCATTTTTATTATCTATTTGAATAAGGCAGCATGTGCACGTTTAACCCTTGTATCAACCATGCAAGGTGATGTCAGAAGGCGGATCTGAGCTTTGTGATTTGTCCAGCATGACATAGCTTATAAAGGAAATATAACAGCAGTTACTACATACTGAGTACTTTCTAAATGCTAGGAATCATCAATCCTCTGAAGCTGGTATTATTATTACCCATTCAAACCTTCAAAATATCCAGATTCTAAAAGGTTAACTAACTTGTTCAAGATCTTATAAGTGCTAGGTAGGGGATGAGCCAAAATTCAAATCAACACAAACTATCATATTGAAACTTATGCTCCTAACACTGTTTAACAGTACACCATTAGCTACACTTGGATTTCCAGTTTGCTTATTATTCCCAGTGTAAAGGACAAGCACCCTTCCTTTCTGACTCAACTGATCTAAGAAGTTAAAAAGATCATGTAAGTAGCATATAAAGTGGTCTTAATATTTACCTTTAGAAAGCCCCCGAGTGATTGACACATAAACCGCCCACTAATCCTCTTATATCCAGTTAAAAAATAACCTAGGCATTTCTGCTGTAACACTAGATCCTATAGATAAATTCCCAATTAAGTGTCTTTACTGTCTCACACCCAGCCAACAGCACGCATAGTTTTTGTTCAACTAGCCTGTCTGGAGCACTCTCCATCCACTTCCTGTTGTCCAAGTGCCACCTAATTTTCAATACATAAACAAATGCAAGCACACAGAAAAAAAGTATCTGGTAAGTAGGTTACTGGAATTTTTTTTCCCCAGAGTTACACAGATTATCAATATCATATAAGATCCTCTTAAGGTCATGAAGTGAAGCAAAAGTCAGTCACTGTGGAATCATGTCTGAGAACAGACAAAAACAACGACTCTATGCTAACAACAAAACCCCAGCTAACACAAATGACTGCTTTTTCCAAACTAACCAGCTTTGGGCTTACCGTGATCTTCTCATCCCCTAGATAATATATATTTAGATATTCAATCACAGATCCACACTTCTTGTCAGCACTCAGTCTAAAACAAACCTTCCACACACACAACTTCCATAAATCTTTCCCCAAACCACTCAACTAAGTTCAAATTCTCTAAGTCTGTCCAGCACCATTATAAGACATTCTATGGTTTCCTACAGTATGTGGTTTCCTTGCTACAAAAAACATCAATAAATGTAACTCTGTACAGCACAGATGTGAACACTGATTAATGGGTATCAAGATAAGAACTCTAGCCTAATCAACTACACAAAGATAATACAAACCAACATAAAAACAGAAAGAACAATTTTTTTTCTTTGTAAATGAAAGATACCAAAATATTTCATATAGCTGAATCTACATTGTCTATTAGTTGCAAATCGTCAGGTCAAGAGAAAGGCATACACAATCAAAACATATTGATGGTAATTGAAGCAATAAAACAAATAAAAAAAAAAAGATTAAGCAGAATGAGAAGATAGGCAGTCAAGGTATAAATCCTAGAAAAGAAAAATCCCTGGGGGGGGGGAAAAAGGCACAACAAGAGATGGGATGGTATTTGAAGAAAATGATATGGAACTACTTCCAGACTCAACAAGAATTAAAAACCACCTTTCCTACATTTAGTGACAAACAAAGAGGTTGGTTAGAAGTTGCAGATGGTGTTTAAGTTATTAACAGTCTGAAGCTATCTTAGCCTCTTCAACAAGAGCATTAAAAAACAAAATTATCTGATCCTCTTCTCCCCACGTGGGAGCATTTACAAAACCATCAGTGGGAACTAAGAATAATTTAGAAAACAAGCTAATCTAACCCAGTAGTTCTCAAAGGGATGTGAAGGAAGAGATCCCATTCCTCCAAAGAAAGGGTACCTAATAAACAATCACAAAAGTGCTCTGGTAGTACAAAAAGGCAGTTAAAGCAATGGGGAATAATCAAACCTTGACATTGCAAATCCTTAAAGCTATACAAACCAGTCTCTGCAGTGTCTCCCATCCAGGCAAGCACACTGCTGCAGAACCTATCCATTATCACTCCCCTACTTAGAATGCTTTCCATGTAAGGAGTCTAATGGCTGACCTCCTAACTCACTTAAATTCTTTATTCAGAAAACCTCAATAGGACCTTCCCTTGCCAACATTATCTGAATTTTCAATGCTTTTCTGTCTACCTCAACAATCCTACCCTTCTTCCTTTTCCTGTTTCTTGATATTGGCATTCAATGTTTTAGTATTACCTCTTGTATTAACTTATTTGTCACTGCAAATTCTTTTTCTACTCTCCCTTCTGTTTTTTCATTTCAGATGTATTTATTTGCAAGGCAGGGTTACAGAGAAAAAGATCTTTTGTTTGCTGGCTCACTTCCCCCAACAGCCAGGGCTGAGCCAAGGCAAAAGTCAGGAGCTAGGAACTGCATTTAGGCCTTAAATGTGGGCCATCACCCAGTGCCTCTTAGGTACTAGTAGGAAGCTAGATCAGTAAGGTAGACCTCAGCCAATACAGATTATAGGCATTCCAAGCAGCTGTTTATACTGCTATACCACAGAGGCTACCCCTTTTCTTTTTGAAAGACAATAAATATTCTGATTTTTAGCTTTAGGTAAACATAACAAATTGCTTTTCAGTGTAGCTCACCCTCACGAAACAGCTTTTCATTTTAATAAACAGAGAGAACCATCAACCTTTATTTCATAGAAAGACAAGCACAGAATAATAATCCCTTAGTTGGATACTTTTATAGGAGAAAAAAACAAAAGGCAGAGAAAGGACATGGTAAGGAACCCAAGTTCTAGCCTTTCTCAGGATTACAGAAGGGACTATGCAGTTCTGACAAGAGTGGCCTTTCATATTACTGTGAAGAATAGTGAAGGGTCTGAGATACTAACCTACTTGCAAGCTAGCAAGTTACTCTCTCAAAGTTTCATGGACACTGGCAGAGGACACAGATTAGAGACAAAAAAACTCTGTAAACTCATTGCTATAGCTGCAGCCTGCCTCAACATTTGAGACAGTTTCACAACCCTGATTCTCAAAGGATGACACAAGAAGAGAGAGGTGATCAACCGTACATGCAGTGGTTTGTGCTACAGAAAAGGCATGAGCTTAAAGGGAAAGCCAATTGTTTTTTATTATGGGCATAAGCATGCATGCTCTCTCTGCTCTGGAGGGTGATGTTATCTACAACATCAGACATCAGCCAAACACCACCTAGAGGAAAACACTGATTTTATTATGGTTAGATCGTACGTAAATCTACTCTTTTGTCTGGAGAGAAACAACATCTTCATCTTCCAAGGCTACTTGTTAAACGCTACTTGAAAAAGTGCAGAAAAAAGGCAGTCAGCCAGCACCATTGCTTATAAGCCATGCATTATATGTAAGAGCACCATGGGATTTGTGTCCCAGTAATTACCATGTCTGGCAAGCTTTTGGAGAGGAAAAGCTAGCCTCACATCTGAGAGCTTTGTTTATCACAAAAGCACAAACTACAAATGAGAAGCAGGCTGTTAAAAGCCAAATGTAGAAATGTGACATTTTATGGAAAATGACTTAAGGCTAATTTAGCATACCACCAACATTATTATAAATACCAAGCATTATAAAAATGCAAGTCAGCTTTACCAAAATCAGGAGGAGCATCAGGCTAGAAGCTAGGAAAGAGTGGGGCGTGGAAGCTTAGCATATACTCTGTGGTAAGTACCATGCCTCAGAGAAAACGGTGATGGAATATACACAGAAGCCATCATCAGGGAAGCTTCA